ACTCTCCTCTTTTTATCATAATTATCTTCTTCACTTTTTAAATCTTGAACAATTTGTAATTTATTTCAGTTTTATTCTCTTTTTTATATTTACAACCTCTAAAATTAGATGATTGATAATTGTGTGGATTAATGATATCTCTTTTTATAATTTTTTATTTGGCTTAAATAAAATTATAAAGTCAAGAGATGAGTTGAAAAATAATTAACACAATTATTATATGTAAATATATTATTATTATATAATAAACAAAAGATGAATATATCAATTAATTAGTCTAATAACTTTATTTAAAGATGATTAAAATTAAAAACTACTAAAATAAATAAAAAGAAGATAAAATTATATATGAATTAGAAGTGGAATCTTTTTGGAACAGTAAATAACATATGGTATTATCATATGACAAAAAGTATACATTATGAATATAGTAACAATTCAATAAAAAACTTTTGGAATAGTGCTTCTAATAGAATATTTAAGATTTATATAGATGAGAAGACTTAAAGGTGCTATAGAATTAAGACGATAGTCAATAGTAATCTTAAGATATCATATTTAAAGAAAGATTATTTATCAAATACAATTTTCAAACATCATAAGCTTTGTTAATTTAACTATAAATTCAATTCAATTCAATGGTCAAATGATCTGAATATTTCTTTACCTCATCTAATAACACATTTTTAGTTTCATCATATTTGATCACATCATCTAAGGCTTAATTTAATTTATCTGCATTCAATCTTAACAACCTGTCTTTAGAGAATTGATATTTATTTCTCAATCTTTGATTTAATAAATTAAATAATTCTATTATTTCATCAACCATCAAACTTAATTTTGATATCAACTTTGACTTTCTTTCTTAACATCAAAAAAAACTCAATTAATTCCTTTGAATTTTTTTAATCTTTGATATGAGCGATGTGATCTCCATTCCTAAGACATTAATGACAATAAACTCTATTTGCTTTACATTGTTTATTCAAGCAATCTAATTCAACATAACCATGTCCTTCTCTAGAACATTTT